GACTCATATGGTGTCATTAGACTTAAAAACAGCATCTAAATTCATACAGGGCTGCATTTATTTAACCAACCTGAACCTCTTTTTCCCTCAGTGTTCCAGTCACCTTAGGGGTGTTAGCAAGGCTCTATGTCACGCTCACCAAATGCCAAGTCAGGTGCTGACTGCTCAGATGTTGATTTCAGTGAAGTTTAGAGGTCATAACAACAACAAAACTGACATTCAGGTCCTTAGGATGGAGACATATACTTTCTGAACATGTAAGTGACAATTGTGACTGATTGGTGTGTTTTCCAACTCACCCGTCATTAGTGAGTAGCTCTTTAAAAGGATAAAATTTATGGTCACCTAATGATGCTGGAGAAAGGGAGTGGAAGATGGCATTAACCCTCATCAAAACCATCATCATCATTCCATGCCTTCTAATAGAATTTCATAATTTTCAAAGTGCTTTTACACATAGTTTCAATTATCCATTGCTTAGAGTTTCGATAGAGGTCTTCCCAGTAAAAACTGAAAATCAATCAGAAATCCAGATTAATTTTAAAATATATGTCTTGGAGGTCCACTATGTGTAAAACACCTCACTAGGCATTAGAAACCTACCAGTGAACAAGAGAGGCAGGAGAGAGAAGGAAGATAGTACTGAGGAAGAAAGGAAGGAACCCTGGGCAGGTCTTAGAAGGCATAGGAAGTTTTCTGAGGAAGCTGAGTGTCTGCTTGGCCCTGAAGTATGCCAAGGACTTTGGTGAGTGGAGGACTTTTAAATGATAGTTTCCTATTGGCCATCTGACACACTGAACATCTGTTCCATTGTCTCTGGAGATGATGAGCAGTATTGGAAAGAGCAGGTACTTCTGCATATTAAATTATAAGCCACCAGGCAGCTGGTTAGATGAAAGGGTTTGGTTTTATAATCTCTTTTCATGAAGTCACCATATGCTCACCTTTTGGCTGGAATGAGGTCCTAGGGCTCAACTGTTTGACAGTTGGTGACTGTTTTTGTTCTTTTTTTTTTTTTTAAATTTTATTTATTTATTTGACAAAGAGAGACACACAATGAGAGAGGGAACACAAGCAGGGGGAGTGGGAGAGGGAGAAGCCAGCTTCCCCCGGAGCAGAGAGCCTGATGCGGGGCTCGATCCTAGGACCCTGGGATCATGACCTGAACCGAAGGCAGACGCTTAATGACTGAGCCATCCAGGCGCCCCTGTTTTTGTTCTATAAGATTGAAATAACTTTTCTTTTTTGATTATGAACACAGTCCATGGCAATTGTTTTTTAAAGTTGAGAAAGACAGAAAAGGAAAGAACAAAGAAATAAAGAGTGATGCCACAGTGCAGACTTTTTTTGCATTTTTGAGTATGTCTAATCTGTGTTTTTCAATGATACAGATACACAGTCATTCACACTGATAACTGGCTCCTTATGGGTGCATCAGGGAGGGAAGAAGGAGGTCACACAATGGTAGATTTCCAGCATTAGCAAGGCACCTCAGGCTCTAATAAATAGGTTTAAAGTACATGAGGAGTTTTGGTTGGTTTTTAGTTTTAAGGAGACAATGGACATTCCATTCTGTTCAAAAGTTGTAAGTTCCATGAAATCTGAGCTATGTGCGACTATATTATTATTAGTCATTAAAAATGACTTTTGAAGTAGGCGTGTTTCTTATCCTTGCTTTACAAAAAGAAATAAACGGATAAAAAGAAATTCAGCAGTTCAATAAGTAAAGGGTAACACACCCACGAAAGCTTAGGCACAGTTTTGCAAAGGTTTCACTTACCTCACTGACTCTGGATCCCAGAATGGTGACCAGGTTCAGCTATCACTTCTTAACAAAGTGCTTTAATTTAACAGAACTAAACAGAAGTGGTTTAATTGAAATTGATTTGAGGTTTTGTAAGGAGAGTGGATGCTATTGACTATATATGACCTTGGTTGCGTTGGCCCACCTGTTTGGGTGTGGTCTGCTCGAAGCAACATTTTCCCTTGTTAATAGGGGGAGAATGATTGGGAGGGTGAGCAGAGAGCCTAGCTGGCTAGATGGAGACCAGCTAGAGAGAGGAAAACCCCTGCATAGCAAGGGTTTGCATGCAAGTAAGAAAAAACCATAGAAGAAGGGAATGTCTAGGTTTACCTTTTTGAGTTTGTGCATTCACTAATGCTTTTGTAAGAATACATTCTTCTGAAGGAACTAAAAAAAATGTTGTTTCATGTCTGGGTCAAAACAGTTGATCATAAAGACAGTATGTATGGATGAAGACCCAGCATGAGAAAGGACTTCCCCAGGCCATGGCACAGTGTGTGAGGAAGGAATGGGGGGTGAGGAGGAAGCACCTGATGAATTCCCACTCCCTAGATTTGTAGGAAGCCCCAGCTGAAAACTGAGTTCCAGACAGAGACAATATATTGCAATTCATATGCCCAAACAGTAGAATCCATTATGTGGCTCATGTGAGCTACCAGTCCCTCGTTAGGTCATTATGACTGTGTGTTGGGCCTTCTAGACTCAGTTGATGTCAGGGTTTCCTGGGGATTCTTTTCCTAAGCCCATCCCTCTTTTTGTGCCTTCTATCATATTGTTTCCATTGCCTGAAATGCCACAATCCCCTCTCTACCCCAACCCCTGTCCACTCTCTGTTGAAATGCTGCTTATCCTTGATTTCTGAACCTGGATGGTCTGTTTGCTTGTCTGGCTCTCTTAATGTATAATCCCCTGGAATGCAGGAACAGTGCCTGGAACAGTGGTTGGTATATGATAAGCACTTAAAAATTTATTGATTCAGTGGCTAAATAAATGAAGAAATGAATGAGAGCAAAAAGGAAGTTCTACTTCTTTGGTAAACCGTTTCTATTGTTGACCTCTACTAACGTCCACTCACCTGAGGAACATTATTTCTAATACATACTAATAATATTTCAATTCCTCTTACTATATTTACTGGGTCCTTATGTGCGAGACACTATGAAATCTCATGTAATCCTTACAACAAGCTGCAGGTCCAATGATTATCTCTACTGGTAAGAAAATCAACTGGGAAATGTAGGTGACTGGGCCAAGGCCATTAAGCTGGTAAGTGATAGAGCCAGGATTTGTGCCTGGACAGTCTGAACAAAATCCCACATGCTCTTCTACTTACCTCTACTTTCTCTTCGTCTCTCGGGACCAGGACTTGGTTCCCTCAGTAAACTTTCCTACACCTGTGTCTTCATTGTCCATTTTCTCACCTCTCCTTATTAAGACTATAGTCCCTGGGAGGTGGGAATCCTGTCTCTCTTCTTCCCACTTTGTGTGGCCACCACTTGTGAAGTTGTTGGGAGAGGGGCTCCTGTCCATACCAGGAAGATGAGGAAAAGGTGGCCTGGGGATTTGTCTAATCGGACAAGGCCATCCTCTGTCAGAGTCAGAGGTCGGACTTCACTTTTCAACTCTCATCCCAGGCTTCTAATCTGGAAGAAAATGCCTTAGCAAGGGTCCTTCTAAACAATCTGGGTCCAGCGATGGAGTTCACAGAACTGCAAGAAACCACAATGGTTACCTGAATAAATGTCCTCATAGAATGGGGAGGTGGCTTATCCAAGGTTATGGAGCAAGTGAGTAGAAAGATTGGAGCAATGAGAACATAGAGTTAGCCCCAGACTGACACTTAGTTCTTTCTGACTGACATATGATATAAAGTATAAATTACTCAGATTTGAACCAAGGTGATAATGTCTTTACTATCATCGTCCTTGGCCTATATGCAAAGAATAGTTTTTTTCTTAGTAAAAACCTATTTATTCTACTTGGTGCAGGCACTTACTGGATGGCTTTATCGGGTGTTTTTTTTTTTGGCTTTGCTCTCTTGCAGTCCCCTGGACTGCCCCTCCCAGCTGCAGCCCTCCAGCTGGCACCCCCCTCCCCTGTAGACCCTCTCACCGGCCCTTTGTTTTCCTCATGGCTGCCTTCCAGCTGTGCTCCACACACCCAGCTAAGGCCATTTCCTGGCTGCCATCCTGCACCAGTGCTGCAACTGCTAAAATATTAATGGCTCCTGTGAAAAATAACACAGTAAAGCTTGCTGTAAATTAAAATTGCCAGGGAGGTGGAAAACGATGAAATGGAGGGAGTAAAGGAAAGCCATATTTTTTTTTTTTTAAAGATTTTATTTATTTATTTGACACAGAGAGAGACAGCGAGAACAGGAACACAAGCAGGGGGAGTGGGAGAGGGAGAAGCAGGCTTCCCGCTGAGCAGGGAGCCCGATGTGGGACTCGATCCCAGGACCCTGGGATCATGACCTGAGCCGAAGGCAGACGCTTAACAACTGAGCCACCCAGGCGCCCAGGAAAGCCATATTTTGAAAAATTGCCTTATAGGGCAAAAAGGAGGCAAAGGAGGACATCTTAGCTCTGGCTTCCCCTTCACGGTCCCAGGATATCACCGTGGGAAAAGCACCTGCACTGGCGTGGATTCACCATCTTGGCCACCTGGATGGGGTGCATGACAAGGGTGATAACCCCTGTGGTTTTGCCTGGCTACCTGCTCTCTTGGGTCCACTGGAAGAGAGGAGGGGGGAGGGGCAGCACAGATTTGAAAACAAAAGGTAAACTGTGTGGATAAAGGGAACAGGGGCTCCCTGTGTCAAAAATGCACGTGGACACTACATCAAAAACTAACGATGTACTATATGCTGGCTAATTGAACATAATAATAATTAAAAAAATGCACATGGCATGCTGGCAGGAGGAGGGCTGAAGGATGCTGATGGCAAATCAGGTTAGGTTCAACACCAAAAAATGTAGTTCTATCCTTTGTCCAGTCCTTAGTGAAAGCACTTAGCACTTTCTGTTTTAATCATTAGACCTGCTAACCATACTCTGTCCTCATCATCGCTGTAGTCCTGGTGCCTTGCACGGCACTTGGCACAAATCACAATGCTAAGCTACATTTTCCGAATGGATGGGATGAATAATTGGAAAGGGGAGGGGTAGAGGGCAAAAATTGACCCTTAACATTTGTAGCATAGTGAATGTTAACATTTTTATTCCTTTTATGATGAAGAGAGTACAAAGGGCTGGGGACAGAGACATCACAGGAGGAGGAAAGATAGTGTTACCTCTGCAAAAAACACCCCTAAACTATGCATAGAAGGGAAGTGGAGTCTCAGGGCAGCTTTTCTCAGGTGAGTTTGCCAGTAAGTCCCATGGCTGCAGGCATATGCTAGCCTTCCTGGGAGTCCTGGACACATCTCCAGGTGCCAGTGACTCAAACCGCCCTTTCTATTCCCAAAGCAATCTGGCCACTCTTTCTTTCCCTCTAAGTTCCTAACACAAGTCCCATGCTCTCTGTCTTCCTCCTTGTTCCTGTCTGACTTGAGCCAGATTTGCATAGGTTTCTCTGAGTTCTGCATTATTGTCATTACTGGGTATGCCCACAATCTTCCTTCAACTCAGGAAATTCTTCCAGTGCTAAGGCTTTCAGCTCTGCCCAGACCCTTTTATCCCTCCATTTTACCTCCCTGTCCCCTCCCTCCTGGAGCACAGAACTCTGCACTTTGGACTTCCAGACAAGCATGGCTGATGTGGTGGGGGAGAGTGGGCACATGTCCCTTCAAGGCTTGGTGAGGACCCTTGGTCCTCCTTGAGGACCTGCAAAGAACCTTCATTGATTGCCACTTTCTTCAATTTCTGCCGTTCACTCCACTACACTGAACCTCTTCACAGATACTGCTCAGCCCCAGCCTTGCCTGTAGCTCACTTGGTAGCAAAAGCTGTGACAGGTGCTCTGGGAACCAGGCTTTTTTTCTGGCTGTGAGCATGCACACTGTCTATGCAGGGTGCAAGAAAGCCATCGTCAGTCATATAAAACGGTTGCTATGGAACATGTTGAAAGTGAGAACACGATTTCATTGTGGATTTTATTATAAGTGTGATACTAGTCAGAAAGGCCCAGAAAGCTGGTGCTGCAGCCACTAACCCCCTCAGGGAGAAGAAAAGAGCAGCAGAAACCACATCGGAGCTCCAGCTGATGTTGACCTCTGTGGACATCCTCAGGTCTCCTGGCCCCCTTCCCCTCACCTAGATTTGGTGAGTGGCAGATCTAAACATTTGCAAATTCACAGTCATAGTCAGTCATCTGGCACATTATGAACTTCCACTGGCGATCCCTGTGGGGAGAGAGTCAGAAAGCCAATGCCAGTGAGAAAAATCGCTGCTGAGGGAAAAGCAGTGAACAACCTCTGGAGAACTTAGGAACCCAAGGGGCACCTGATCTCACTTTGTTCTGTAGTAAGTCTCTGGAAAACCATCAGGTAATCATCTGTGAGGTCAGGAGTTCTAGACCCCTCCTCGATCAGTGCAGGTGGCACCTTGCAGGTGACTGATTAGGTTCCTGGCTATGTGGAGGTCCTATTGGTCACAAGGGGTCAGCTGGCACTACCCTGAGTACCTCAAGGACAAATAGGTTAACAGCATTTATTTGCAAACAAAAGTTACATTAACTCCTTAATGTAATGTAAGTTAATGTAACCTATTTGCAAATAGGTTAACAGCATTAAAAGCATTTATTTGACACTGTCTCCATTCCATTGTAAAGAATCTTCTCTTAAATAGGCCACCCATTTGCTCATTTATTCTTTTACTGAGAACTTACCATGTTCCAGGCTCCATACTATATACGATGTGTAGCCCTCCAGAAAACACTATTATAGGGAAATGAAGTGAAGGGAAACAACTCTGAAAACCCATAAAGTGAAAAGGAAAATGTCTGCCATTCATGTGTAACAGAAATTGAATTGCATGTTTGTTCTAGAGGTCAGGCACATGTATGAAAGTACATAGATTGCTGTCTTGGAAAATGTGGTGTGGATACATTTCAATGAATGTTCTTTGCTAAGGGCAAGCCATTGTTCTTTGTTCACCCACTGAACAAAAATTTATCGAGTGCCTACTCTGCATGGTGTTCTTCCAGTGTAACATCGTTTAATGGCAATATGTTGATCGTAACCACTGTGCTCTGAGTGAGTTCAGTATATCAAGCATTGCAATGGTGTACAGTGTGCTCATTTAATCTTCACCATGATTCATGATTTAGGTGGAGAAGCAGACTCAGAGAAACATGTGACCTTCTTTAAGATAATGAGGTGACAACTTCAGATTCCAAGGGTGTTGAACTGAAATCTTGCTCTTCGTCTTATACTACAATACCCCCATAACTACATGCCCATAACCCCATCAGAGGACACGGCTGTCACATCCTTTGCAAAGTCCCAACAAAGGGCAAATATAAAGAGTCATTCCATATATGATCACGCAAATCCTTCCAAAGCACAGCTGGGTCAGTTAATCTTTGAATTACCCTTCTCCCTTTCAACCTGCAAGGCTTCTTCCTAGGTTGGTTTATCTTAAACAACAACCAATACTGAGAAGGTCTCCCTCCAGCCTCTGATCTGGAACGTGGGACTGACCCCACTTAGTTCTGGGAGATACCTCTTGCCAGCAGCTAGGGGACATGCTGGTCAACCTAAGTCAGGCTTTGCAGTTCTGAGTCTGCTGCTCCAAGTCATTTGTTTACAATGATTAGGAAGAGGGTCTCCTGGTATAAGTCCTGAGAGTCTTGGTGTCCAACTATGTATTAGTATTTATTCCTGCAGCTGTCAACAGAGGACATGGCTTCTTTTAGATGGAGATTAGCAAATTGGTGGCGTGCATGTTTATCAGATGAATTTCATTACTGTAGGCAAGTCTTACTTATCTGTATACCAACAGACAGATAAGTAGGCTCTTAAGCCAGGCATTCACACTACTCTTTCAAGAGACTGTTAATTGATGCTGAGCAAATTTTAAACTTGGTCCTAAGAGAACCAAGGGACTCAATCAGGCTCAGTCTGATTTCTTTCCAGACCAGTGGCTCTCAAGCAGGGACACTTTTGCTCCCCAGGGGGATTTTAGTTGTCATAACTATGGGGAAGGGGAGGTTACTACTGCCATCTAGTGACTGGGGCCAAGGATACCGCTAAACATCTGGCATGACAGGACAGGCTCCTGCAACGGAGAACTTACCTGTTCCGGATATCAATAGTGCTCAGGCTGAGCAACTCCCTTCCAGGAGGAACCCACTCTGATTTGCATATGGAAGGAAAGTCCCTGCCCAGTAGGTCCTGCACTGATGCTATTTCTCCGACGCTGTGGCCTTAGCATCTTTCAGCAGAGCTGAAGGAACACAGGCTGTGGATCTTTAAGCCACCGATTGTTAGTGACAACAGCAAAATCACACGGGCATGTTCATTTTAAACAAATGCATGACATGATAGCTCAGTTTTTTAAGGTCCTGGGTTAATCTACATAACTGAAAAATTTCAAGCCAATAGGAATTGGATATTTTGATATGTATGCAGTGAAAATATCCAATTATATATATAAGCATATATATATATGCAGTAGTAATTTTGGAAGGTATTCTTTCTTTATTACATTCCTTCTTGCCTTCTTAACCAGGCAATGCAGAACTAATTTTCTTATTGACATGGAGACATTGTTAAGAATTCTGAACGCCCTACTGCACTGTTATCCAGTCTGCCCTTGGGGGCGACACACTTGCTAATTGTCTCCAGGCTCCCATGGTTTTGAGTTCTTAAGTCTTTCCTTTTCTTAAATATATTTTGTGTGCGTGTTATGTCGTTTAGCTATTCTCACTGGTGAAGAGTTTCATTTTATGTATTATTTTCCCTGTTCATATTTTAGTTTTCTGCTTCTAGAAAATAGTTAACTAAGCTACTTAAAAATGGATCTACGGAGCCTGGGTGGCTCAGATGGTTGAGCGTCTGCCTTCGGCTCAGGTCATGATCTCAGGGTCCTGGGATGGAGTCCCGCATTGGGCTCCCTGCTCCTTGGGAGCCTGCTTCTCCCTCTGCCTCTCTCTCTCTCTGTCTGTCATGAATAAATAAATAAAATCTTTAAAAAAAATGGATCTAAAATAAAAATGATTAATGTGTGAGAAATGAGGGGCTCTCTTAGGAATAAACATAAAGGTCTTTGTTTGTGGAGCCTGCACCATGTAGTGTGCCTTTTCAGAGCTATTTAATGTTTGTTCTATTGTTTGTTTTTTTTTTAAGATTTTATTTATTTATTTGACAGAGAGAGACACAGCGAGAGAGGGAACAAAAGCAGGGGAGTGGGAGAGGGAGAAGCAGGCTTCCCGGGGAGCAGGGAGCCCGATGTGGGGCTCAATCCCAGAACCCTGGGATCATGACTTGAGCTGAAGGCAGACACTTAACGACTGAGCTACCCAGGGCGCCCCTGTTTTTGTTTTTTTAAATTCTGGGTCATGTTAATTTGGTTAGGTGAGATGTCATTTCATTTGAAAACATAAATATCCCTGAAAGATAAGTCACACTCACATTCATCATAGTCCATTATTTAAGGAGTTAATGTAACTTTTGTTTGCAAAACATTTATTGGTGACTTTTCAGGAATTCATGTGCTGTGTAAAGTGATTATCACCTGACTGAAAATACCTGAATTTATCGACACCTCTGTCTATACTAGTTGGGAGAAGAGTTCTCATGTTCTTATTGTTTTGTTTTGAGTGTTAGGGATAGGATTGGGGAGCTTATTAGGAAAGGAGATGGAAGAAGTTTGTTTTGCCTTCAGGTTATGTAAATCCTCCCCTTTCCTTTCTAAGTATGGTGGAGTCCCTTCCCCTTCTCTTCTCTCCCTCCTTGCAACCCAAGATGGGGGTCATCTAGAGACCAGCATCGGCATCTGTGGGGTTCCAATTTGACAGTGGATGGTCCTTCAACCATTTTTGCCCTCTCCTCCTAACACTGGGTCAGAAAAAGTGCTCTTTGAAATCGAGTGAAGGGCAGAGCTTAGAACATCATGGGAGACCAAGATGAGGCTCTTCTGCTCTGAGTGGCCTGGAGCCCATCCTTATTTCCAAGGGTGAGCTATTCCATGAAATGGGTTTATGAGAATAGCTCCATTCCCATGGCCTTCCACCACCCAGGAAACTCTCAGTGAATTCTAGACCAAGTAGAAATAAAGTAGGGACACTACATCAAAAGCTAATGATGGTGATTAACATAACATAATAAAATAAAATTAAAAAAAAAAGAAATAAAGTAGGGAAAATCCCAGATGTAAATTCCTGCTGACATGGTCCTTGCTCAGAGCTGATCCCTGGCTCCTTTAGCTCCTAGCCCCTGGGAAGGCTCACCTTTCCACTGCAGAGAAAGTGGTGGTTGCTCCTCGCATATAGTAGTCGTAATTGTAGGAAATCATGTCCATTTCTTCCCCATAGTGGCCTGGATATTCTGTGGTCAGCCTATGCGGGAAGAATAAAAGTTTAGAGGAAAAAGATAAAACACACTATTATTACAAAGAAGAGATGGCATTTGAACTTCATGGGAAACCCAAGCCAGAGTTAGATGGCCTCCACCAAACCATTTCAGGCTATGAAAAGATGGGTGGTTTCCTCCGGCTTCTCCTTTCTTCTTGTCGTTAAACTACACACTGAAAAAGATGTAGATAACTCCCCAGGCCTTGAGGAAATATTAATTAATATCAATATTAGTCCATGCAATTTAAGTCTGCTGGAATCATGTTTCCAAACTATGGATTGTGATTATTAGTGGATCATGAAATCAATTTAATTGGTTATTACCAAATGGGCTTTAAAAAAGAAAGAGTAGAAAATATCAGAGCACACACTAAAGATATGTTCTTGTGTGTGTAAAAACTTTGTTTCAAATATACTGTGTATGTGTATTTATGATGCATATATGGCGTGATAGTTTAATATGTATTTTTTACTGTGAGTCATGATTAAAATGTATGAAAAATATTAAAGTAATACTTAATCCCCACAAAATTCCCCTTTTCCTTGCCCACCATTGTTTTGTGGCACCTGAAATAGTCCCTGCTACGTAGTATTTGTTGAATAAATAAATGGCCTTGGGAGAGTCACTTAATCTTAGTTTCCTGGTGTATAGAAGAATAAAAGTTACCTTATACGTTTGTCACTGGGACTAGGAGAAATATGTGTGATGTGTAAATGGTAGAAGTTGAATCATAGGAACAATTTTGTTTCTTTTTCCCCCTTCTCCTTTTCCTTTTGTCCCCTCTAAGATTAAGTCAATTCCAGGCGTCTCTCTAGGTTTGCTGTGGTCCGCCTGGAATAAATCTAGAATCTCTTGATTCTCATAAGGGGATCTTTGGGACCAAAATAGTCCTTTCAGTGTGACATGGGTCTGTCAAAGTCTTTATCTGTATCTCCAAGGCAGTAATTGAGCATCAGGAATTTCAACTGATTTGGGTTCACCAGGTCATTGTATGTTGTTGTTGTATATATGTTGATGATAGAAAGATGTTCTGCTATGTAGACTTAATATTGCAAGGATTGTCATGAAATCTTAAAAAGACTGATTTATAAACTGGAAGGTCTCCTAGGAGGATCTCAGTGCTTAGATGCAGCAAGATCAATGGTTAGCTCAAGATAACATGGAGTTAGCTAGAGCCCTGAAAGCCCATTCTCTAGGCTTACAATTGTTTCCTCACATTTTATAGCTGTCCTTGTTCTGAGACCTTTCTCAATACATAATTATGCTTCATTAGGATGTCAAGTCCAACCCAGATTGGGTTACATGTGTTTTCACTTAATGTGTTCATGAAGGGAAATAAGGCTCTGCTAATTCAGAAATCTATTTTGTGCTTCTAAAGAGACCTAGAACAAGGACTTCTTTCTAATGAAAGTGTTAAATGACTCATAAGTGGACTTAATAGGGCCTCACTTGGATCCCATTGATTTGTGATCCCTGAGGATTCTAACAAGTGCTAGACTAAAGTTTATCCAAAAAAGAGGCATTGGTAGGAAATGTGAATAATGCAAATTAGGATTAAAAGACATAGGGTAGGAGGTGTTTTCCTTACTTCAGGGAATACAAGATATTTTCCAGAACTTGGAAGCACTCTTGGGATTCAATGTATAAAAGCTAATTGCCAAACATTTTGATATGTTCTAAAGCAGAATCGACATATGGCAATACTGCACTAAACGAAATATAATTGCCAAAATTATTTGGAAATAACCAGTCTAGATATTTATTTTTTAAGTTTTTGCTGATTTGATGTCAGACTACTTGGTTAGTTAAACAAATATGGAATAAAGTAGAAAAGAGAGGCTTGCATTTAAAAAAAATCATGAAGTTAAGCTTCAAAGGGGAATAATTTATCCAATACTTTAACTGGCATTCTCTATTGCTTCATTTTTGGCAGTGATCAGATACTGGCCCCCCGATTAACTCGACAGTTTGTCTGGAAGCCTCTCTCGGGGGGTACTGCTATCCAGTAGATTTCTAGATTGCCCTAGAGAAGGCGTGGTGCATGCTCATTGGTACGTTTCCAACTTGGTCTCAGCCGGGTTTTTGTTTTACTTGATTTTTGGTTGTTGTTGTTTTGTTACAAAACTGTGAGATAAGTTTAGCCTATCTTACAGAACCTTGGATTAAGAGGACCAGGGAAGGAATTTGGACATTGATGGAAATTATGCCTGCTTTATGAAACTAAAAACTCAGAAGAAAAATGGTCCAAATCATTAGTAGAAAGTGAACCTTGCAAAGACCATACATAGAGGGGACTGCTGTTTCAATATGATCTAAGATTCTGAGTTTTAGAACCAGATAGATGTGTCTCCATTCAGTTCTTGAAGACATCATGCACACACAAAATATCTCAATAAATGAAAGCCCCAGTAATAGCACCTCCGAGAAAAAGCAGAATTTAAACTGTCAGCTAGACACTGAGACAGGGCATAGGGACTTGTCAAGAAATTAAAGGAGGCTATAAGGAAGTAGAAAATCAGGGTTTCATAAACGGTGGCATTGGGCTTCCTGAGGGCGGGTGGGGAAGAGTTCTGTGTGGTTCTAGCTTCCTTGTGAATTACTAGGTCACTACAGGCAGCTTTTTGGCAAAGCATACTTCGTACTAAGCATTGTCATACATTCTTAGACCAATTACAGCAATCGAACAAGCCTTCAGTTTGGTAAGATGAAGGGAAGGGCCAGTCAGTAAGACGCCTTTATTCAAAGCACTGAAATGGGTATATAACTGAAGCTCTTCTTTTTTTTTTTTATTTATTCATTTGAGACACAGAGATACAGAGATACAGAGAGAGAGAGAGAGGGAGAGAGCATGAGCAGGGAGAGAGGCAGAGGGAGAGGGAGAAGCAGGCTCCCGGCTCAGCAGGAAGCCCGATGAGGGGATCGATCCCAGGACGCCGGGATCATGACCTGAGCCGAAGGCAGACGCTTAACCATCTGAGCCACCCAGGCGCCCCTGAAGCTCTTCTTTTGGGATCCTTACATACCCTTTTCCAAAGAGCTCGTGTGTGTGTGTGTATGTGTGTGTGTGTGTGTGTGGTGTGTGTGTGTGTTCCTCCTATCACTTCTGGATGAGTGACGATTGGGGTACACTTTCTCACCCCATAATATTTTCTCTGCCAACTGCAGGCAAGACGAGACAGGACAGAGAACTTGAAAAGAGCTTGAGAAAAGCCTAGCAGGAACTTGATAATGTAGAACCACTTGTACAACTTCTTAGATGGGGTTGAATGAGATGGAAGAAAATTAAATAAATCTTAGGAGCTGAAGACAACCCAATCCAACTGAAGCGATTTTTAAGATTGATAGAAGATATTCTCATCTGAGATTCTTTTTTTTCTTTTTTAAAGATTTTATTTATTTGACAGAAAGAGACACAGCGAGAGAGGGAACACAAGCAGGAGGGAGTAGGAGAGGGAGAAGCAGGCTCCCCGACGAGCAGGGAGCCCGATGCGGGGCTTGATCCCAGGACCCTGGGATCACGACCTGAGCCGAAGGCAGACGCTTAACCGACTGAGCCACCCAGGCGCCCCGCTCATCTGAGATTCTTAAAGCACTGAAATTATCAACAGATCCGACTAGAATCAAAACATGGCAGCTGAGAGGTCTGTTATCAGAATCGGAGCTGCCTGCTGCTGAGAGATGTCCTAGCTCCTATGCTGTGAAAATTGGACAGAGCCAGCCCGGATATACGTTCTCACACCCATTTTAAAGAGGGGAGTAGAGATACAATTTAGTTGGATCAAGAGTCCAGTTTTACTTGTTGTCAGAGGTTTGAGTGAGGACCAGTCTTAATAGTTGAAAGAAGGGGTTTTAAATCTATTCCTCAGAAGAGAGCGACTCAGTGTAAAATGGCATCAAAATCCACCTCTATTAGTGATTAAGGAGCAGTTAAACCTAGAGTCAAACTTCACAGCAGCAGGATCTGTTTGCCACATGCCTGATCTGCTGGCAGTGAGGACAACTGGATTACAGTCAGCCAGGATCACATCCTCCACCTTATCCTGCTTCGTGGGGCACCAGAGAAGCACACCCCACAGCCTCCCTACTGTAGGAACTGGAAGAACACCCATCATTTACACGTTAACAAACCAGAATGGGGTGCCTGAGGAAGCTTCAGCTTTTCTCTAAACAAGTATAAACTGAGGATGTTTTCTGACCCATTCTTTGGTGAGCAACCCACGTTCAAATAACATTTTTGAGAAGCTTCTTCCGGTCAACCCAACCTCTAATTCTGTTTTGCCCCTATTTTCTCCACTTCCCAATCAGCACCTTATTTTAAATATCCTATTCTAATGTCCTGTTACTTATCAGCACCACGTATATAGCATTTGATTAAAAAAAAAAAAAACAGGATTCCTCCCCCCGCCCCCAAACAAAACAACAACAAAAACCCCCAGGATCCCATAAAAGCATCTTGTTTCATGATGATGACCAATCTGGTGAGCTCCTTAAGGGGTCAGTGGTACCTGGCAGCATATAAACCTTAACAATCTAGTTCACAGTGGCATGGACGAGAAATTCAGCCTTTGTAGAATTGATGTGTTGAGGTTGGCTCACATTCTACTACCAGCTACAAGGAGTATGTCCCTCTTGGACAGGCAAATCAGTGAGAAGTTTTTAAATAAACAGAATTTGTTCATGATCAATCCTCTTGCATACTGCTTTTCCAGGGAAGCTAGCAGGAATGAACATATTTCAGGTTAGACTATTTTGCTAATGGCCTGGCATCCCCAATAGGAGTTGCATCAGAACCTGTTTGAATTATTTTTGCAAAGGTGAGAAAAATAAGACCTAAATGCAGTTATGCACGAAGGAAAGCACCTGCAAAGGAGCAGCCACCTGGCTTCCCCTGCCAGAGAGCTGGGGAACTGACCCCATGGGGCTGAATGACCAGGTCTCTGTAGCCACCAAAGTGCCCTCCTCTGCACTAGGGAGAGACCCTAGA